CTGTTTATCGGCTTGTGCATTGACTCCGCGTTTTTGACTACCTGAAATCATCTCGTAAACCAACCGGATTTTCTGCACCACTGCTCACTACTGCACGTCAATTCGCGCTGAAATAAACGACGCAGCAGAGGGGTTACAGTTCTCGTTCAAAAAATATAATACTTTAGTTGTCCTCGGTAGCAGCACTATTTGATTGAGAGCAGCTAAACGTGCGAACGCAGTGTACACTGCTATGTTCATATGAGTTTGGGAAATTTCCATTGGGTTAACTCTGGTGCTTTCTAATGGGTGGCTGGATTACCGGTTAATTCAGGTGTCTCCTTCCAAACTGTTCTGGTACATCCCACCTTGAACAATTCAAACAAGCAAGGATCACAACAGAAGCCGCCGAAAACAGTGTTCACACTGTCACAAAAGAAATTTACAAATACTTTCCAGTTTGAGCTGTTGTTAACGCAACTGTTGCAGTTGCCTTCGAGGACACATGGGAAGTGGACCTTCCACCTGAATGCTGTAAATTTGCAGGTAGCGGAACAAGCAAGTCAAAGTAATGTCCTGACCTAGTATAACGATCTGCGTCTTCCTTACAAAACCTTGGATCCTAGTGGATTTTGTGTGCAAACCAGCGCACTTCTACTTTAGTTTAGAAAGTGTGCTGCATCTCACATTGTTCCATTCGAAGACAGTGTCGTTTACTTTTTATGGAATTCATTGACCTAGCTCAAAAAACAAGGTGCTATCATCAGCACGACTTCAGTGGTGCATGTGTCATTTAGCACAAGACAAAAGTGCAGATACAAAAACAAAATCAGTAGGGCTTGTAAACCTGAACAGAGGTAATAATTACACAAACTCAAACTCAAAAGCTAACTTCTATTCCTACTTGTATTTTGGTGGGTGCACCTAACTTTGCTATGCTGGTAAAAACGTGGTTTTGGAATAAAAAAGAAATTGGGTCAATTTGACGTTCACGGTATTTCTCATTACACTCGTTTATTATGGGCCTCAAACTAGTGCGGACGGAATGGCATTTCACAGGTTGGTGCAATCCTGGTGACGTTCACTGCATGCACTTCTATGAAGCCACTCAACTAACCTCATCTACGAAGATTTCTGGCAATAAATGTTACATTCCGGATATCCCAATTTGGGCCGCGCTGAGATTGGCCACAACATAGGCTAGACCAGATTACCAGGAGCAAGGTAGTCGTTCCATGGGGATACTTCAGACATATCACTCCTTCTCAGGACGATGCAATTGCTTCCATTCTGATTGTATCCGCCAGGAACCAACAATGCTGGTGCACGATAATGCGAGATCCGAATTAAAAAGGACTCCGTACTCCATCCTCTCAATATTATGCCTTTCATTTCACAGTTGCCTCGTGCACTTTGGTTACGCAGCGCGTCAAATTTCAGGCCGGCGCATTGACTTTGTTGTATCCGTCTGTATACGGATGGTGAATGGATTATTCCACACCCCTACTCCCACTGCATGTGAGCGCTAATTCGAACGCAGTCAGAATTAGTGCAACAATTGCTTTTTTCTGAGCGTTTTGATTGAATGCCTTTGATCTGCTCGTAATAGCTGAATAATTGCTCGGAGGTTGTAATTGATTCTTCCACACACACACACACACAGATGAGCTGCGAACATCCAGTATGACGCCGCAATCCAATATGGTGTGAGGAGAATGACTTTGGTCGGGTTGACCGACGCAAAGTGGGCCGTCAATATGCGGTTCATACCACCGGGCTGCACGACATTCTTCGCACGCCCGATAGGGCGACCAAATTTCAGGGCTGTGTTTGCCCAAGATCAGCACTGGAAGTCGAGTGCGGTCTAGATATTTCACTCGGTAAATGTGACTGGATTGAACGTGTGAAACGTCGTAATACACAAGGAAATTGCGCGAATGATATAGACAACGACCGAACTCAACCGCCATCCTAATAAATGCCGGAGGGTGGTTCTGTGCGTTAGCCCAGGAATTTCGAACTGGTTCCTTCAAATTTGAATTTCACTGAGTGAACAAACGTCCCCCTCGTAAATCTACACAGGAGTATGTTTTCAACGAAGTTCTAACCACATCGCACCCAATGAACTGTGTGGTTGACCTGATGAACGCGCCCTCTCTCCAATACATTGCACTTCTTTCCGCAATAAAATCCACCAGATTACAACGCACTAAGGTGGGGACACAGAATGTTTTTTGCCAAATTCACTGGTGGCGAGGTGGTTGAGTACATGAGAACATCTCATAATACCGCCCGGTTCGCTACATCAACGCTCAATCCTGCACATCATTTCGCGAGGCCTGAAACGAGGCAGGAGCAAGTTGCAGATTCTAGTTCACAGATTATAGTGCCATATGTGTCCTCCGAGTCAGCACCATTTGGTTAAGAATAGCTGACCGTGCGAACTCAGTGTGCAGCGCTATGCCACACTGGTTGAATAACATTTCGATTGGGTCAACTCAGGTAGCTTTACTTCAAAGCGGCACTCATCAAGCCCATTTGTGCTCATTCAAATAGGTTATCAGATCCAACTCGACCATACAAATCACATCCGCCGACCAAGATCAAATCCGTGAAATATTTTGGTATCAGTGATGCTTGACCACATTGGCCCGGCCCCCAACAGTCCTGCCATTTTCATTACAGCCTGAAAGGATTAGTCATTTGAAGTGATCATGTGAGTGGCCCAATATTGGTTGTCCTGCATTCCGGGTGACAATTCTTTTGGACAATGTCTAACTCTTATTTGGACGTATCTCAGAAACGATCTGGATGATGGTGTAGTACGAGGACACTGACTTACCATTATTATAGTCGGCATTTATATTGACACGTCGGCTAAATGACATGAAAACCATTAAAATGTGGATGTCCCAAAAATTTATACGATTACTGCTCATGAGGAAAATATTCTAAAATCATGGTCTCATTGTTTTGTGACGGAGCCCAATAATGTTTATCGTTTCAATGCATGTGAACCAATGGAGTAAATTAATTGTTTACTGACATATCTGGCTGCTGTGCGTCAGTGCTTCTTCGCTGACAAGTAGGTACAACATTTGGCAAAACTAGTCACACTACTAGCCATTACAGAGTAGCTCAGGCTTGGAAGGAAATCCGCACGGTTAGTGATGCGCGTTGTTGTGACAACCCGGTGGCGACCCGAAGGCTAGAGACATTCAGTGAAAGAGAATAGAATGAAATTCCTGATGTGAACACATTCCTCTCAATCCTGTCAAAAAGCATAATATACTTCCCCACTCGGTGAAGCGCCATCGAACACACGGATGTTGCAAAGTTTGGCGCGTGCTCTAATGCTGATTAGGTGTGTTCACACTATTCTCCCAACTAGTTCTAGAAGCGATTTCAGGTATTTACCAATGTTCTGTCGTCGGGCGATTTTATTTGCAGATATGAAGCGTTCATTTATTCCCCGAACGAGGGAAATAACGCTGCCCGAAAGGTGCAGCAAGAATAGAGCAGTTTGAATAATAGTTGGATGCGTTTTTATGGTAAAACGTAAAGTGCACGTCTTCTGCCAACATGAATTCACGGTTAAATTATCTTCCTTGCTACCTGTATTATTCCGGGACATTCAAGCTCGCGGTTTGATGGCCTGCATGCATGGACAAAACTCTATTAGGTAATTCAGTAGGTGGGTCCAATGCATGTGTCCTCAAGAGTAATTGCCCCATTCTAGTTGAAATCAGCTTAAAGTGCAAATTAGGTGTACCATGATATTTCGCCATTGCTTGAGGAAATATCGGATTATGTGCATGAATCCCTTTCGGGTTTCAACACTCCAGCGCTTTACGACCAGGTCCAACCCCACTCTTCGGGACGCACGAATCGGGACTTCCAGGAATATGCAAATGGTCCAATCAGGTACTCGGAACCAGCGCCTTGTCTCAACGCTTTGTGCTCACAGTTTATCACTACTTGTGCCTTACTGAATTCATTCTCGCACATATTTTCGCAACGAACTCAGATTCGCGGGAAATGGTAGAACCCAAGTCTGTTTGTTTGTGTCATCCGATGAGCGGGGGCTCATCCATGCGTGCGCGAATATGTAGCCAACTTAATTTTGTGAGGATACCTGCGGTCATGCGCAAAACTGCATTGTGCCACAGAAATCTTCTTTTCGCATGTATCTGAGTGCATTTGTGCAAGCACCACTATCCGTCAAGCTGAATCGGGAGGGGAGAATGCGAAAAGTATGGTTCACGTATTGTAATCCGGATACATTGACGCCATTAATCAATTATTTCTTTTTGACATCCAACAGTAAGTTGTGTATTTTACAAAACCTGTGAGGAAGGAAACTCTTATCGAGCTGCGCACACTGTCAATTCGAATGGCTAATCCTCTCAGCCCGTAATGAAAATGTGTGCATTAATGGGGCCTGTGCCAATGTGGCCAGGCATCACCGATACGCGGTAGTTTCACGAAGTTCAACCTAGGCGGTGGATGTAATCAATCTATTCAGCATGGAATCGATTTCCTGTTTGGATTAATCCAGTGTGGTTGGGCACCAATGAAACCTAATACTTTCGCGGATAAATCGTAACCGGCGGATGTGATCTAAAGGAGCTTGACGATAAGATTTGGGAAGTGAGGCCAGCTGAGTTGACCTATCGCCCAGTGTGAACGCAGCAGTGCAGACTAGGTGTGCAAGTTTACCTGTGGCAAAAGGAGTATTGCTGTTATCGAGGACAACTAGCGTATTATATTCTGCGAACGAGGACCGTCGCCTGGCTGCTGCGTCGTTTCATGTAGCGCGAATTGATGTGGAGCAGTGGCAGTGGTGTAGAAGATTCGGCTGGTTTATGAGTTCATTTCAGGTACTCAAACAGCTAACCTGCAATGACTGACCATACTGAATATCGTGTTATGTGTCCCCGCTAGATTGCATTATAACCTGCTGGATTCTATGTGGAGAATGGTGCAAATTGGTTACAAAATCTACAGAGGACTCAAAAGTGTATCTCGAATTTCGTAGATGAGAGGGTCTGGTGCAGTGCAGTTTGTTGCGTGGAAACAACACAAACGAGAGAATCGGCCGGTCTCTGGCAACTCCAAACTTGTTTGCTAATGAGCTTACTCTGGTAATTTGATGCGATTCGTT